GAGAACTCCAGCTCTTCCACAAGAGGTGATACCCACCGTGTCTGGTCTCTTCCTTTCTGTTCTCTCCACTTCCTATACACAGAGACTACATGATTTCCACACAGAACTCATCTTTTAGATCAAGCTTTCGGGGCGGGGGGGGGGGGGGGGGGCTTCCAGCCTTCTGAGCCTTGCTCGGGCCTCTCCAGGGAACACCCAGACTTCTCTGCGGGCGGGAACTCAGTTATCTGACATTCAGAAGGACAAACGTCTCCAGAGCCTTCCCTGACTACTTAGGTGGTGCTGAGCCCTCTTGGCATGTCCCCCGTGATCCTCTGGGAGCTTTTCCCTTGAGCCCCCACACTGCGTAACCCCCATTAGAGCATATAGTGTGATTTTCTGCCTCCCTCGGTTGGGACCCACCCTGAGTGCAGACACCCAACTCCTTCCTGTGCCCCCCCTCCCAGGTCCCCCGATCTGAAGCCTCTGCCTATGGCGCCTCCCACCACGTGGCCTACTTTGAGGCCTCGGCCAAACTGCGCCTCAATGTGGACGAGGCCTTCGAGCAGCTGGTGCGGGCCGTACGGTGAGCGGAGCTCCTCCCCTTCCGGTCATCCTCGTCCTCAGCTCCTGTGACCCAAACTCACTAGCTTCTTCCCACAGGAAGTATCAGGAACAAGAGCTCCCGCCCAGCCCACCCAGCGCCCCCAGGAAGAAGGACGGGGGCTGTCCCTGTGTCCTCCTGTAGCCCCGGCGGCGGCGTGAGAGGAGCAACCAGCACGAGCTCTTGGGACCAGCTGCCCTCACCGAGCCTGTTTCCCCATCTGGGTTTCCCAGGATACACTACACCCCTATCTGTAATTCCTGGCTTCCTCCAGGACATCGCCACTGTGTGCCTTCTGCCAATATGCCTCCTTTCCCCACCCGAGCCCCTTGTTGGGGTGAGGGGCTCCCGGGCATCCGGGTCACTGCTGTATATAACTCCCCTCTCCACCCCTAGGGAAATAAACGTCACTGCCAATGTCAGAAAATGCTTTTTAGAACGGTTCAGGGGTGGTGGGTGAACTTAGGGCACACCTACAACCATCGGATCTACAACCCTTTGCTTCTTGGGGAGGGAGGTGGGCAGGGGCCAGAGAACAAGCCAAGCAGGTGTCTGGACTCCTGCTTCATCTTCAACGGGACCACTCTGCCTTTTGTGTTTTGGTGGCACGGGGTTTAACATCTGAAATGTTTTTTGGGTTTTTTTTTCCTCTTTGCTGTAAAGTTCTAGAACAGTACTGTTCAACAAGGTAGCCGGTAGCTACAGGCAGGTTTTTAAATTTATTGGATAGTGGTGTTCCAGAAGATTCCAGAATCTTGGAAACAGGCAGCCACTACAAACCCTGCCTGCCTCCTAACCACCCCCAATACATATTGAGAAAGACATTTTGGCTGCAGAAAGAAGGGACAGGTGGGTGGAATGGTGTCCAAGCAGCTGGCTGGCAAGTTCTCAGTTCCAGAAAGTTCCCAATTGGGCTGACTTCAGAGTCCAAACCCTCAATGACCTGGGGGCCAGCGTAGACACATCTCATTTGAGCATTATGTCCTAGGAAGGGCTGAAGCGTGGGGCATCATAAGGCCACCCAAACAAGTTGCTAACTCGCTTGTTTGGGAACCCTTGCATGCCCCCCATTTAACCCAGGACCCCCAATTCTGTGCTCTATTTGCTAACCTGAAACGCTGGCGCCAGACCTGGAGACCACCACGTGCCCCATCTCCTATGCCTGACAAGCGTCCCTGAACCCCAACACCTAGTCCACACACCTCCACTTGAGAACTGTCACCAATGATCTACTCCCTGTCTCCCCGTATCTGCTACGTTTGGACAGAATCTCCAGGCCCGATTCCAAAGTCCTCCCCTCACACCCACCCCAGAACCCACTTCCTGGTTCAAGGGGAGACGAGGGCCCTCAGCAGCACCTCCATCTTCTCAGCTGTAAAATGGGGGTAATCACAGAGCTACTTCGGAGAGGTCTTTAGGAACCGGATCTGCACCCAGAAGACAAACACAGAGCTGGGAATATTGTAAACGCTCTTTATCAATGACGGAGGCCCCGCTGTCCTCCTCTTGCCCCAGAACCATGAATGTCCCTCTGTATTCCAGATTCAAACAATGATTAGCTAAATATCCCTTTCCGGGTTTCATTATCACAGAATCCTTGGCCTGCATTCAACCTTCCGCCTTGGGAATAAGCAAGGCTCCAACGTATTGTGCTACATGTTCACTCCCTCTACCCTGACAGGGAGGGAATGGGGGGGGGGTGGGGGTGGAGTGGGGCGGTTCTATCACTTTCCAAACAAGGTCTGACATCGCCACCTAACCCCAGCCAGAGGCGAGGCGCTCTCAGCAGGGGCCAGTGGAGTCCTAGGCTGATGTCCCTTCCTCTCCCTGGGTCCCCATCAACACTGCGTGCACAGGAGACCCGAGTCTTTTTTGCATTGTCAATCAGGGCCAAATTCTTGGCCGGGACACCCTGCTTCTTGAAGGACAAAGATGCACTTCGAAGAGGTGACCAAAGCTACCGCTTATACGCCCAGCAAAAGGCACAGTACAGACCCACGCGACAACTGGCAGGCCATTTTCGGAAGGCTTGCGATCACCACCGTTCCAGAGCTCATCAGACAACAGTGAAGAGGCTGGCCTGGCCTAGTTGGCGGCTCTCTAGGCATGTGCATGCCTGTCCCACAGTTCCTGCCCTCCCCTGGGCTCTGGCGGGTCCTGCCAAAGATCTGAAGCCTCTCGGGCTTTTGCTGTCCCTCCTTATCCATCTTTGCCACCTTCCCTTTCTGCCATCTCTTGGACTTCCGGCAACCCCCTTGGGCTCGCCTGCCATGCGGAACGGGAGCTAAAGGCCAGGCGGTGCCAAGTGCATCGAACGCTGTTTTCCTTCACGTTGACAAAGTCCATTTGACAAATGACGAGACTGAGGACAGGGGCTGGGATCCAACTCACCTGCTTAGTGCTGGAGCTGGCATTCAAATTCGGGCAGTTGAATTCCAAGGTCCAACCACAAGGTACTCCTGCCCCCAAAGGGATGATACTGCCCCGCCACCCACCTTCTGAACAATCCACCCACTTTGTATAGCAGAGCTCCTGCGGGAGATCATGGTGATCTCGGAGGCTTTGGCTCTTATTTGACGGAACAGTCCAGAACCTTGAATATGCCACTGCCTCTCAGTGGCTGCACCCCAATGTGCTACAGGCCATGGTTCAAGGACACCAGTGGTCCATCCTTACCCCTCCAAACTCAATTCTAGAAAGCCCACGGCCCAGGGGCACCTGGGTGGCTCAGTCGGTTGAGTGTCGGACTCCAGCCTTCAGTTCGGGTCACGATCTCGTGGTTCATGGGTTCGAGCCCCACAATGGGCTCCACGCTAACAGCGTGGAGCCTGCTTGGACGCTCTCCCCTCTCTCAAAATAACTAAATAAACTTAAAAACAAAAGGCCACGGGCCACCACTGAGTCCCATTAAGATCCTTCAGCATTACCGTAAAACCAGCAGAATCATTAATATTGGCCTAGACGATATCCAAGGTTGTAGAACAAATTGGGGCTCTTCCTCGATTTCACCAGGAAGGGAACCTATCTAGAATACAGATGGTCTACCCTTAAATCTTACACCAGGTCAACACCTGCCGCACACCTATCATCACTGCCGAAGCCAGGGTTCTAGAATACCAACAGTCTGTTTTGGACAACCGTCCAGGCTCTAGAATGACAACAGCTTACTCACTACTTTCTAAAGCCAGGTTCCAGTTGACCTCCAAATGTTTAACTCTTTAGAACACTGCTCCTCCAACTTGAGTGTCTATTAGAATCCTCCCAGGATTTTACTAAATAGTGGGTTCTGACTCAGCAGATCTGAGACTCAGCCCGAGCTGACGTTTTCTAGAAGGTCTCGTGGGACAACGGACATCACTCCAAGGGCGGCAGTCCTGGATCACACTTTGAGCAGCAGCAAATCTCAAGAACCCAGGAATCCATCCACCACTCCGTCTACTGGCCTCTCAACTGCCAGTCTGCTGGTGACCTTGGAGTTTCAGGGTTCAAGAGCACAAGAGACCCACCCTTCAGTCTACATTAGGCAACCCTCAAAAGGCTGGTCAACTCCCTACACCTGTCATAGCCTGTACCGGTTTAAAAACACATCTAAGAATTCCTATCCTTTTCCTTCCTCAAAGCGGAGCTGAACTGCCCTCTGAGTGGGTACTGGGTTTAATAACTCCCTTTCGATGAACAGTATGGATGAAGCAATGGTATATTAGGACATAAAGGTCCTGTGGCTTCCTCCTTGCTCTCTCCCTGGGAAAAGCCAGCTGGCATGCTGTGAGGACACTGAAGCTGCCCCATTGTGGGGTCCACATGGCAAGGAACCGAGGCCTCCGGCCAACAACTGATCTGCACGCCTTAAAAGTAGATCCTTTGAGGTGCCTGGGTGGCTCAGTCAGTTAAGTGTCAGACTTCGGCTCGGGTCACCATCTCACGGTTCGTGAATTCAAGCCCCGAGTCGGGCTCTGAGCTGACAGCTCAGCGCCTGGAGCCTGCTTCGGATTCTGGATCTTCCTCTCTCTCTGCCCCTCCCCCACTCACGCTCGGTGTCTCTCTCTCTCTCTCTCTCTCTCTCTCTCAAATATAAACAAAAACAACAAAAGAAGTAGACCCTCCAATCCCAGTCAATCCCTTCGGGTTGCTCTCGCTGACCAGACTATAACCTCACAACAGACCCTGGGACGCGAACCCCCAATTCCTGATCCTCAGAAACCAGAGGATAAAACGTTTCTTGTTTTAGGTCGCTAAATTTTGGGGTGGGCCAATTTTACCCAGCGAGACGTAGGGGTGCAACGACCCCAGCCCAACCACTGCCCGGGCTCCAGAAAAGCCATGTGCCAGAGAAGGCCAGACCCTCTCTCTGCCTGTGCCATCCCTCGGCCCACCCGGCACCCAGACGCCGTAGGACAGAGGCACTCCAGCCGGCCGATAAAGTGTTTGCCGTTGGGTTTTCGTTTGGCTGGTTGTGTGTACACAGTGTATACAAGTTGAGTTGTACAGAAGCCCAAGAAAGAGCAAGAGACGAAGGGTGGTGGGGAGGGAGGAGCGGGGGGGGGGGGGGGGGGTTAGAGAGAGGGGGAGGGGAGAAGAGACGGATAAAAAATAGAACCACATCCAGACGACGAGGGGTTGGGGCGGTGGGGGACGGGGGGGGGGGGCAGACACAGACAATCGCAGTAGAAAAGGAGTAGGAGGGCCAAAGGGAGGGGACCCTTCTTCCCCCTCCACCTCCCCAGCCCCCCGCCCCAGGTATGTACAATAAATAAGATTAAAAATAATTAACAAGATGCGTTTTCCCCCTCCCGCCCGATGCCGAATGCCCTGGGGGAGGGAATGGCCTTTAGCAAAGATCTTGGCCTGTGAGGGGGGGGTTGGGGGGAGGGGGTCCCCCAGCTCTCTGAAGCCACCCCGCCCCCCTCAACCATACATAGACTTTTCCTATACATTATGTACAAGGTGGAGGGGGCGGGGCTGTGGCCATGGAGAGGGGATTGGGCCAAGGTGGGGAGGGAAACCGTTACTAAATAGACATTTATACATATATATAAATAATTTCTCTGTACACCGGACAGCAGGAGGGGCGGGGAGGGAGTGGAGGGGGGTGTGGGAGAGGGGAGGAGTCAAACTTTGAACCCTGCCCTTGTGGGGGCAGCATGGACACACCCTGACCAATGACCCCCCCTCCCCCCACTTCCCTGGCAGGCAGGGCCCAGGGGTTAGCTCCTGAGGACACAGTTCTGTCCCAATTCTCCGTTCGTGGAAGAGGTGGCTCCCCCAGGCGGGGTGGGGTCACCCACAGCGGCTGTGGGCCTGTGCTTGGGCCAGCAGGTCGCTGAAGGAGTCGAAGAGCTGTTCCAGCCACGGCTGGTTCCGCATGCATTGCTGGACTACCTCCTCCTGACCCAGGTCCTCAGCACCGCCCTCGATGGCCAGGGTCTGCAGGGCGTTAAACAGGGAGCTGGGGCAAGTGGCCACCAGGGTCTGGGGGTCTAGGGATCAATATCCCGAGGAGAAGGGTGGCTGGGAGCTGGACTCCTGGGTCTGAGAGAGGAGGGGCTGTGGGTTTGGACCCCTGGCTCTGAGGGAGGAGGGGGCTGGGGACCAGGACGCTGGGTCTGAGGGAGGAGAGGCTGTGGGCTTGGATCCCTGGGTTCGAGGGAGGAGGCGCTGGGGGCCTGATTCCTGGGTCTGAGGGAGGAGGGGCTGTGGGCTTGGATCCCTGGGTCCGAGGGAGGAGGGGACTGGGAGCGGGAACCTTGGGTCCGAGGGAGGAGGGGACTGCGAGCGGGAACCCTGGGTCCGAGGGAGGAGGGGACTGCGAGCTGGACTCCTGAGTCCGAGGCAGGAGGGGCCGGGTCCAGGGCAGAGCCCGTGGGGCCAAATCCCAGGGCAATGGGTGCTGCGGGTGGGCTTACCTGGTCCCTGCAGCGCAGGAAGGTGTGGTACTTATAGTGGTGGAGCGAGTGGTAGAGCGTGTAGTATCCCGACTTGTCCAGCTCCACTTTGAACTCCTGGACAGAGGAGAGTGGAGAAGCCTCACCCCACTGCCCAGGCCAGGGCCTTTCCTCTTCCCAGTCGCCCACACCGCCCGCCCATCCGCGGCCCCACCTGGGCTCGGACCACGCTCCTCTTGAGTTTGCTGAGCGTCTTGCGGTTGTAGGGCTCCCCCGCCGGCCGCAGCCGCACGGCCCCCTCCTCAGGGGAGCCCTCCCCGCTCTGCTCCACTTGCAGCTGGGGGAACGTGTGCAGGGCGTCCTGCGGGAAGCCGACCGGTCAGTGGGACGTGCCCTGGGCCCACACGCTCCAAACCCACCATCAGTTCTCAGATCATCAGGTGCGTCAGTTTCCCTCAGGCTATGGATCAGGGGATCCCTGGGGAATCTTGGTCTCCTCAAAGGACAGAGGAACCTATGCCTGTCTGGGGACCCTTATTAATGTGCTTTGTGGCCCGGCCTGAGATTCCCAGAGACCCCTGATATTCCACCCGGGATTCTCAGCACCAGCCTTACATCCTACTCAACATTTTGAGAATCAGCCTAAGATCCAGACTCCCCAGTGCCAGGCTGACATTCAATCCCAGAATTTTAAAACCAGAAGAATATTCCATTGCCACGGAAATTTTAACCCTAGCATAACATCCCACCCGGAGTTCTAGAACCAGATTATCACTCTATCCCGCATTTTCTGAAGGACTAACATCCCACCAGGGATTTTCTGAGCCAGCCTGAAAGTCCATCCCAGAATTCCCAGAATTAGACCAGTACCTGCCCAGAAATGTCAAGGCCGGACCAACATTCCATCCCAGAATTCCGCTGCCCTAACAATCTGCCCCCCGAATCTCAGCACCACACAACCATCCCCCCCCCCATCAGAGCTGCCTGAATAGTCTGTTCTAGAATCCTAGGCCATTCCAGAAAGAAAATCATCTAGGTGACTTACTACCGAAACCTAAGATGCTAAGAAGTCCCGCATTACGATGACAGAGAAGCCATCAGGATCTGCTTAACGCTGTCCCACGGCAAGGCCTGGGTGCAAGCCCTAGTCTACCTTTTGCCTCCAAATTTGCACTCCAGAGCCACGCTCTGATGGGCTTTCCCAGCAGCCCACCCCAGACCTTCACTATGACCTCTCTGCACCCTCCAAGCCCCCTCCATTCAGGCCTGCAAGGAACCTAGAGACTCCCCCTTGCCAGCCCTGCCCTCAACTTTGCTCCTGGCCAAGCCCGGAGAATGGTGCCCCCCGCTCAGGGCCTCATGCTCTGGGAGCTCCTCCGTGGCTGACAGGTGCACATCTCTCCCGTTCATGACTGCTGGGCCCCGGACACCTCCCGCCCAGGCCCCACAGGCACCTGGAGGGCTGGGCTCAGCGACAGCCGCTTCAGGACTTTCTTCTTGTGCTCATTCAGGAGGCCGTCGATCTTCCGCATGGGCGGGAGGTACAGCTCATCTAAAAGACCCGGAGGGGCATCAGAAGAGCCGAAGCCCCACGATGCATGGGGGGAGGGGGGTGCAAAGGAGGGGTCGGGGACCTCCTCTCCCAGGCCTCAGCTCACCATGTGTGTCCTCCAGGGCCTGGATCATGTCTGGGTCGAGTGCTGTGCTCACCAACATCTCCACGTAGCTCCGGTACATCTCCCGCATCGCCCGGGTCTTCAACAGACGCCCAGGTACTGCCCGCTCTGGGGGGAACAAGATGGGACTTCGGTTCACTATTCCGCCTTCGTTTGAGGCCGCCTGTGTGGCAGACGGTGTTCTAAGTACCAGGCCCAGATTCACAGGGAGCGCCCAGTCTGCTGGAGAAAGTCCCCAAGTACCAGCGTCATGTACTCTGATGGTGGAGTCACAGGCATTGACTGTTAACAAGTTCAGCCTGGCAAGCCAGGGAAGGCTCGTCCAAGGTCACACAAAAGCTAAGTCTTGACTGATAGGCAAGAGCATTCCAGGCCGGTGAACTTCACGTTTGACTGGTTCAGCGTAGCTTCGATCAAGTCTAAAGAAGCAGCATCGTTGGTTTCCAAACCAGTGAATGCAGTCAGAGAGATCGCATCACAAAGAGCAAGACTGAGGGAGGAGGTGGGAGTTGAGACTACACGGGTCATGCAGGCCAGACCTCGCAGGGCCTCCATCCAATATGAGGTGGAGAGAGTAGGGGCTTTTTCTGGTGGGTACTAGGGAGCCATGGGAGAGCTGTGAGCAGGGGAGGGGCAAGGGTCAATGTGGAAAGGCACCTCTGAGGACAGGTAGGGGATGGATCGGAAGGATGATACCAGAGGTCAGGGTAGCGGACCAGGTAAGAAAAGATGCTGTAGCAGGGCCATAAGGACAGGATCTCGGGCAAGACGACAGGAGGGCCAATGTCTGGGCCAGGGCTACAGGAAAGCGCTGAAGGGCTGGGGACTTCCCAGTCGTGGACGTGAGGGAGCAAAGGCTGGAGGCTGGAGATCTGGCCCTCTGACTGCCTAGCCAGTGGGGCTATCCTGTAGGTACGGAAATTAGGACAAGGAACTCAGTGGGATCTGGAGGGACGAGGCTTGGGGGATGTCTGGAGGGGGGCCAGGGAGAAGAAATGAGTGAGGCTCACTGGAAAGCTGAGCCTGCCAAGTGAGAAGTGAAACAACAAGGCCAAGGTCAGGACTTGAGGGACACTCACATGAAACCCAAGAAGCATCGTCGGGGAGAAAAAAGATGCAGGACGGCTAGGAGCAGCCCTAAAAGATCCCTCAGGAAGAGGCATGAGAAACGTCTGTTTGACTTAACCACATGGAAGGTCCGTGGGGACAGCTGTTTCAGAGGCCAGAGTGACCGCTTGGCAGCAGCAATTGGACCCCCAGGCCTTGGCCCAAACCCTCCCATGGCTCCTAACTCGTTCAAGGTAAAATCCTTCCAGTGGGAACGCAAAGCCCTGGGCTTCTTGTCCCTCCAAGGTCTGGTCCTGTTCCTTCTTTGCCCTCACTTCTCACCCTCTCCTCTTACTCACTCGCTCCAGCCACTGGCCTCCTTCCTGATCCCCAGACACGCCCAGCCTGGAATGTTCTCTCTCCCAGTCACCCAACCCCAACCCTGTTGCACTCAGATCTCTGCTCCAGTGTCATTTCCAGAAGCATTCCCCAACTCCCCCATCCCCCGAAAACATCACCCTCTAGAATGCCTGGATACTCTTTACTAAAACCATTTTTCTTTTTTTCTACGTACTTACTATTTTTTTTAATTTTTAAGAATTTTTAAAAATTTTTAAATGTTTATTTATTTATTTCCACATTCATTTATCTTTGAGAAACAGAGTGAGACAAAGCTTGAGCGGGGGAGGGGCAGAGAGAGAAGGAGACACAGAATCTGAAGCAGGCTCCAGGCTCTGACCAAGTGGTCAGCACAGAGCCTGATGTGGGGCTCAAAACCACAAACTGTGAGATCATGACCTGAGCTGAAGTCAGAGGCTCAACTGACTGAGCCACCCAGGTGCCCCAAGAAATTTGTAAAGTCTTTGTTTATTTATTTAAAAAAACAAAATTTTTTTTTCAACGTTTTTTATTTATTTTTGGGACAGAGAGAGACAGAGCATGAACGGGGGAGGGGCAGAGAGAGAGAGAGACACAGAATCGGAAACAGGCTCCAGGCTCCGAGCCATCAGCCCAGAGCCCGACGCGGGGCTCGAACTTACGGATCACGAGATCGTGACCTGGCTGAAGTCGGACGCTTAACCGACTGCGCCACCCAGGTGGTCCGTTTATTTTATTTTACTTTATTTTTTATTTAAAAAAAAAATTTTTTTTTTAACGTTTATTTATTTTTGAGACAGAGGGAGACAGAGCATGAACGGGGGAGGGTCAGAGAGAGAGGGAGACACAGAATCTGAAACAGGCTCCAGGCTCTGAGCGGTCAGCACAGAGCCCGACGCGGGGCTCGAACTCACGGACTGTGAGATCGTGACCTGAGCTGAAGTCGGCCACTTAACCGACTGAGCCACCCAGGTGCCCCGCCCCTGTTTATTTTTAAGAGAGAGAGAGAGAGAGAGAGAGAGAGCGCGAGCAGGGGGAGAATCCGGAGCAGGCTCCAGGCTCTGAGCTGTCAGCACAGAGCCCAACACGGGGCTCAAACCCATGAACCGTGAGACTACGACCCAAGCCAGAGTTGGACGCTTAACTGACTGAGCCACCCAGGCATCCACTGAAACTTTTTCTTAACGGCCTTTAAGCCTAGCCAGCCTTACACTGATGCTTCTTCACATTGTTTTGTATTCTGTTACATAACATGTTTATCCAACGGATGGACTCTCCCAAGCTAGACTGGAAGCTCCCATGAGGACACATATTATTGTTTATTCTGTTCACTGCTGGGACCTCGTTCATGGCGCATAGTAAGTGCTCAATAAATATCTGCAAAAAGGGGCCAAGGAAGCTACAGGGGAGGAGACTAAAGAGAGAGAGAGAGCAGACAGTCACTGCAGCATCTTTCTACAACTTCTACGAATACAGGAAAGGAGAGAGCATCAGCTTGTAGCACATGGAGGGTCACCGCTCTCAGACAACCCAGAGTTAGTTTAGTTCTAAGGCCTCCTGGGCTGAGCAAAGCCTTCAGGGCATCCAGACATAGGTCACACTCACCCTACCCTACTCTAGAGGGGCTCCTGGTTGAGTGAGGTGAGGGGAGGCCGACTCAGACCCATACCGACCCCTTGGCAAGGAAACGGCTCCCATAAACGTGTAGAGTTCACTTCCCCCCATTTCAGAAAACTCAGAGCTGTCCACGTGTGTTCAGAGCAGCATTATTCACAATAGCTAAAAAGTGGAAACAATCCAAATTTCCACCAACTGGACGATAGATAAATAAAATGGGGTCTGTCCATGCAGTGGAGTATTATTCAGCCACAAACAGGAACAAAATCCTGATACCTCTACAACATGGATGAACCTCAAAACGTTAGCGAAGTGCGAGAAGTCAATTACCAAAGACTACGTGGTGTGTGATTCCACTTATATGTAATATAAGGCAAATCCAGAGATTGTAAGTAGCTGGTCACTTAGGCCTGGGGGTGTGGGGGGAAGGGAGAAATGGGAGTGATAACCAAGGGGTACAGGGTTTCTTTTTGGGATACTGAAAGTGTTCTAGAATTGATCGCCAAGATGGATGGATAACTCTATGACTATACTAGAAACCACTGAATTATACGTTTCAAATAGGTTTATTATATGGCATGTTAAAGTTAAACTTAAATTTGTAAGCTGTTGAAGAAAAAGGGAAAAAAAATTGAGGGCCAGGGAAGGAGAGACCTGCAAATCTAGGCCTTTGCTAAGTCTCCTCCCTTGTGGCACCTTCACAACCTGTCTTTAACTGCTTCCACCTGGCCTGATTTAGCATAGGCCTGCCCAGTTAAAAATAAAGAAAAAGAAGACATTTCCCAACCTCCCTTGCAGCTAGATGTGGCCACGTGATAGAGTTCCAGCCAATGGGACAGGAGAGGTAGGATGTGGGCCACTCCCAGATCTGGCACTTAATTTTTTTTTTTTAATTTTTTTTTTCAACGTTTATTTATTTTTGGGACAGAGAGAGACAGAGCATGAACGGGGGAGGGGCAGAGAGAGAGGGAGACACAGAATCGGAAACAGGCTCCAGGCTCCGAGCCATCAGCCCAGAGCCCGACGCGGGGCTCGAACTCCCGGACCGCGAGATCGTGACCTGGCTGAAGTCGGACGCTTAACCGACTGCGCCACCCAGATCTGGCACTTAAAAGGAAGGTGTAATGATTCACTCCTTGGTCCTTGAGTCCTTTCCTACTGGCAGGACCTCAGCTTTTGGGGCTGCTGGGCTGCCTCTGACCTGGGGGAAGGCAGAGCGACAAGAGTAAAGGAAACTGGGACCCTGGACAACCTTGTGAAGAGCCTCTGATTTTCCAAGAGATTCCCACCTTCAGCAGGGCTTTGACGAAAGAGAATTCTCTCTTCTTTAACCGTGTGTACGCTTAGTCTCTGTTAAAACGGCTTCCCCTGCCCTATTCCTAAAAAGACATGTGACCTCAGGCAAGTCACATCGACTCTTGGTGTCTCGGTTTCCTCATCTTTAAAATGAGGAAAATTCTATAGGACCTACCTCTCAGGATTTGTGTAAAGATAAAACAAACCAATGTGTAAAATATTTAAAACGATGGCCTGGCACCTGGTAAGCACTCAATTAAAAGGCGGCTGTTATATTTACTCTGTGTGTGTGTGTGTGTGTGTGTGTGTACGTGTGTATTTTGTTGCTGTTACTGTCACCACAAACCAGACATCATTCTAGGCAATGGAGCTTATCTTTGGTGCTTTACTATAGGTGAGTACCCTCCTATATGTTTTATCTGTCATTAACCTAATTTATAAGTGAAGACACTACAGCATAAAGAGATGATGCCTCTTTCCTGGAGTCACACAACGAGTCACAGGGAAAACCACGACCTCTGGGCCTCCAGGACAGACACTGGTCCCCCATGTTCCTCTGCCCTCAGAACCTACTTCCTTTTTTTAAGATTTTATTTTTAAAGGGGCGCCTGGGTGGCGCATTCGGTTAAGCGTCCGACTTCAGCCAGGTCACGATCTCGCGGTCCGTGAGTTCAAGCCCCGCATCGGGCTCTGGGCTGATGGCTCAGAGCCTGGAGCCTGTTTCCGATTCTGTGTCTCCCTCTCTCTCTGCCCCTCGCCCGTTCATGCTCTGTCTCTCTCTGTCCCAAAAAAAAAAAAAAAACGTTGGAAAAAAAAAATTAAAAAAAAAAAAAAAAAAAGATTTTATTTTTAGGGACTCCTGGGTGGCTAGGTCAGTTAAACGTCTGACTTTGGCTCAGGTCACGATCTCACGGCTCATCAGGCTCCCTGCTGTCTGTCTCCCTCTCTCTGCCCCTCCCCCACTAGCACGCGTTTTCTCTCTCTCTCTCTCTCTCAAAACTAAACATTTAAGGGGCGCCTGGGTTGCTCAGTTAAGCGTATGACTTGGACTCAGGTCATGATCTCACGGTTCATGAGTTCGAGCCCCACGTCGGGCTCTGTGCTGATGGCTCAGAGCCTGGAGCCTGCTTCGGATTCTGTGTCTCCCTCTCTATCCCTCTCCGACTAGTGCTCTGTCTCTGTCTCTCAAAAATAAATAAAGGTAAAAAAAAAAATTAAACATTTAAAAAATAAAAACGAGGGGCGCCTGGGTGGCGCAGTCGGTTAAGCGTCCCACTTCAGCCAGGTCACGATCTCGCGGTCCGGGAGTTCGAGCCCCGCGTCAGGCTCTGGGCTGATGGCTCAGAGCCTGGAGCCTGGTTCCGATTCTGTATCTCCCTCTCTCTCTGCCCCTCCCCCGTTCATGCTCTGTCTCTCTCTGTCCCAAAAATAAATAAACGTTGAAAAAAAAAATTAAAAAAAAAATTAAAACAAATAAGGATTTTATTCTTAAATGATCTCTACACACAATGTAGAGGGCTCGAATTTACAACGTCAAAATCAAGAGTCACACGCTCCACCCACTGAGCCAGCCAGGGGCCCCATAACATTTCTGTCCTAAGACAAATCAGTGCAGCACTGAAGAACAGGCCTGAGGCTTCACTGGCCACATCCCAACTCGGGTGGGACGCCACACCCCAGCCATGTTATGTGCTCCTGGTGCCTCAGTCTCCTCATCTGTACATGAGGGCAGTAACGGTATCTACTTTGTAGCACTGCTACAAAAATTAAACAAGTGAATTCATCGTGTGTAGAGCAGTCATCCAGTCAGGGGCCACGTGACTGACACATATTGCCATTATTTCAATTATTGTCACTGTCTCACCGATACCACCCGGAGCCCTCTGGACAGCGCTCACCCACGCCTCCTTCTGATGCCCCGGATTCTCTTCCTCTTGCCTCCCCACCCGCCCTGTGTGGCTGCCTAGGGACTCACCGTCCTCGCTGGGTGCTCCCGGGGATGACTCGGAGTCCGAGGAGCTGCCTGGTGGACCCCCACCCGCCGAGGCATTTCCTGCCGCCTCCTTCAGCCACTTCTTCCTCTTCTTGGGGGGCGGCTCGGCCTTCACCTTGGTGGGCCGGGCCTTGGGCAGCCGGGAGGTGGCGGGCTGGCCCGCGGTGAGGCTCCGCTCAGGCCGTGTCTGCCGCCCGCCCGCGCTCCGCTCGCCCCGTAGCGGCCGCTCCCCACGCGTCACCCGCTCCTTCTCCTTCTCCTTCTCCTTCTCCTTCTCTTTCTCCTTCTCTTTCTCCTTCTCGACAGGCCGAGGTGGGGATGGCTTCTCAGGGGCGGGGGGCTCGGGCGCAGCTGTCTCAGGCGTCTGCTCTGGGGGCTTCTCACAGACACTCTTATCAGGGGTCTCTGGCTTAGGAGGTGGTGCTGGCGCCTTGGGAGGCGGGACAGAACTGGCCCCAGAAGACGCAGGGCCCTTGGCCTGCCCAGAGCGCCTGGAAGGGAACACGGAAGGGACTGTATGCAGTCAGCAGCCCCTAAGAAACCCAAATTCTCCTCTTGAAATCCCCCTGCCTCGCCAGCAGCTCTAAGCACAGAACCAGCTTCCCCTCTTGCCATCTGTTCCCTCTCGGGGTCTCTGCCTGGCCCCCCCCCCGCCCCAGACTGGAGTCTCTTTCTCTCTGGGTCTCTGTCACCCACCCTGTGTCCACTCTCCCTGACTCTGCCTCTTCTCTTGAATGATCCAACCCCATGCCTGTAGACCCTGCCCACCAACTGCCCGCCCCTCGGCTCCCCGTGGTACCTGACGGGCACTGGGGGCCGATGCCAGGGTTTCCGAGCACAGACCCTCACATAATCCTTCTTGTTGACGTTTTCCAGGAACTTTACGTAAAGGCGCTGATACCGGTTTTTCGCGTCCCCAAAATACCCCAAATACTATGGAGGGAAAGAGGCACAGGAGGAACTCCTTCGTCCACCCCAGCCAGGCAGCCGGATACCAAGACTCCCACCCCACCCAGGGCCCCCGCGGCAGCCACAGGAGCCACTGGAAACGGAGCCCCCCTCTGGACTATACCCGAGACTAGGCATGAATCACAGCCATGCGTGAGGAGGACCCCGGCTTCCAGACCCCCCCCCCCCCCACCCGGGGCTGTTGACCCCTCACTCCCCACCCCCCGGGCAGGCTTACATTACTGGTGGCACAAAACTGCCGCTGTCCGTCCTTGATCTCCGGAGTGAACTTCTGCAGCAGCGCCTTCTGCACTCGCCAGATGGGTGGGGGCTCGCGCCCCGTCTGCAGTGCCAGCTGAGGAGGGGTGCAGTGAGGCCAGCAAGGTCAGCCCTCGTTCCTGTCCTTCCTGCCCCCCAATTCCTGGCCCGATGTCCTCCCTCTATACCCGCTTAAGAGAAAAGGGACTGAGGTCGACAAGCCATCCATCAACGAACACTGACAGCCAGATGTCTTCTGGCCGTGTGATGTTCTCAGCCCTGGGGAGGCACCTTGAGTCTGGCCACGTCCTCCTGTGGCTTACCCCAGTCCTTGCAGTCAAGGCTGTTGGTTCTTGGGCTGCAAAGTTTTGGTTATAAAAACTTCACGGTGGGATGGCATAAGCCTCTGTCGCGACTTAACGTCATGACTGACTCCTGAGCGCACACCCACCATTTTCCAGATACCGTGCTGGACCCCTGGGTCCAGTGATGAATAAGACTGACGCCTCTCATGGGGTCTTTGTCAGAGAAGTGACAAGATAGACAAGTCAATAAATGAAATAGGGCGCAGTGGAGGCTTGTGCCGAGAACAGACAGGTGACAGTTTCCCAGAAACCATGTATTTGATCAGCGAATCGACAACAGGGCAAGACACGGTGAGGGTAAGGCCCCCCCTTCTCGACGCCCCCTCCACGCTCAGATAACCTCTCCACAACTCCGAGACTTGTGTGACCCTCAGCTGGACACTGGAAACTGAAGGATGTGGGCCAGACCCAGTATCTAATCTGGGGGAGTGAGGGCAGTAGCAGGAAAACCAGACAGGGCACAAAAAAATAACAGCACCGAGCAATAAACGTGTTAATGGCAGACCCCCTCGTGGTCTGTGGGTTTGAGCCCCGCGTCAGGCTCTGTGCTGACAGCTCAGAGCCTGGATGGAGCCTGCATGGAGCCTGCATGGAGCCTGCTTTGGATTCTGTGTCTCCTCTCTGACCGTCCCCCACTCATGCTGTCTCTGTCTCTCAAAAATGAATAAACATTAAAAAAAAAAAAAGCATTAAAAAAAATAAGGACTGGGGCACCCGGGTGGCTCAGTTGGTTAAGTCTCCAACTTCAGCTCAGGTCATGATCTCACAGTTTGTGAGTTTGAGCCCTGCGTCAGGCTCTGTGCTGACAGCTTGCTCAGAGCCTGGAGCCTGCTCCGGATTCTGTCTCCCTTTCTCTCTGCCTCTGCCCCACTCACACTCTGTCTCTTGTCTCTCTCAAAAATAAATAAACATTAAAAGAAAATTTTTTAATAAAAAAATAAAAAAAATAAGGACCTCACATGCAATCTGAATCCAAGAACGCTTCGTGGAAGAGGGGATACCTAAATGAGCCCCAGATGGACAATGTCTTCTATGAGGGAGACCAAGCAATGACACAGGACAGCATGTGTGACAGTTGTGCGTCTAGAAGAAAGCAGCTAACACACTATATAAGAACATGGGAGGCGCCTGGGTGGCTCAGTCGGTTAAACGTCTGACTTCGGCTCAGGTTATCTCATGGCTCGTGGGTTCGAGCCCCGCTTTGGGCTCAGTTCTGACAGTTCAGAGCCTGGAGTCGAGTCTGTGGCTCCCTCTCTCTCTGCCACTCCCCTCCCCTTGCAAAAATAAACATTTAAAAAAAAAAAAAAGGTAAGAATACGGATGCTACGGGAAATGTGCACTGGGTATTGTGATAACCCAGAGAGGCACGAAAGGTAGTCCTTGCGTTCAAAGAATCCATACTCAAGTGATAAACAGGATACAGATGGTAACTCCAATTGATTGGTCATGGCTGCCCTGAAAGCCAGGCATGGCCGGAGAAGTGCTGAGATCAATTAATGATGTCTGGCACTGGCAGCAGCTGTAATACTGGCGTTGGTGTGCCAAGCTATCTACTACCCACTCTTAGTTGGAGTTAGTTGTTTCCACCTCCATGATTAAAAAAAAAAAATTTTTTTTTAATGTTTATTTATTTTTGAGAGAGAGACAAAGCATGAGAAGGGGAGGAGAAGAGAGAGAAGGAGACACAGAATCCAAAGCAGGGTCCAGGCTCTGAGCTGTCAGCACAGAGCCCGACACGGGGCTTGAGCTCACAGACCATGAGATCATGACCTGAGCGGAAGTCAGACGCTCAAGTGACTGAGCCACCCAGGCGCCCCTCACCTCCGTGATTTTTTGTGTCCCTCAGATCAGCTAGGGGAGTGCAAAAAAGGGATTACAATAACCTGATGAAAATGAGGTCTCAAAATGCTCTCGGCTTAAAATTACAAGAGGCAGGATGAGACAAGGATGCCAGGGTCCTGGCCCCAAGTCCTTTTTCCCAGGCTGCTATGTGGTTCCCAGTCCTTCCTCTCGGTGACCTTGGGAAGCCAGGTCAGAGGCCCAAGGATTGAAAAGTTCCTTTCAGACCACATCCTGCTCAGCTCCAAACCCCTGTAGGGCCCCCAGTGCAAGCTCCACAGTCTGGCACAGCGAAACTTTGCCTCAGTTTCCTTTTTCTTCTCCAGCCCCTGCCCAGCTCGCTATCCAGACCCCTCAGAGTTCAGCAGATGAACCCCAGACTTTCTGACCCCCAGATTTTTGCATATGCAGTGCCCCCCATCAGGGGTGCCTTTTCCCCTCTCAATGTGAATATGAAGTTCTCAGAAGTCATCAGAGCATCCTTCCCACCCGGGGGGAGCCCACCCCCTCCTCAGTCTCCTCCCACTACCTAATCTGCCTCTTCTGAGTCTATTGATTCTCTCATTGGACGCAGGTCCCCTGGCTCACCACATCCCAGTCGAGCTTGGTGTCTTTCCCAAAACCACTCTGCCTCCCTGCCACCATCGTGCCCAATCCCTGGTATCATCCTTGCCTGATCTCCAATCAGGGCCGGTCAGTCCCCAGGCTGTCCTTCCTGCCTCTCCTCATGTCGATCAGATCACTGACCACACCCACTTCCCCTTATTAGGGAAGCCAACATGCCCAAAGCCCCTGCCCCTGCCCCTGCCGGAGGGAAGCCAGAGCCGATTGGAGGAGACCTAACCAGGCAGCAATCAGGAAGCAAATCATCTTGGCCCCAAATGCAGAGCTGGACCAATCAGATTCTCTTTTGGGAATCTGAACTCTGACAAGCAGAGACCAGGGCAGGAAGCAAGCAGCAAGATGAGAATGAGCCAGAAACACCTAGCAGGGTGGGAATAAAAAAGCTTTATGGTCCGTTCACAGGGAATCAGGGTCACAGGACTGAGGTGGTGGACAGACTGCCATCAGGCCTAGACATCTCCCCAGCCACCTCCCCGCTGGCGAGAAGCCCTAGCAGCTGCCGGAAAACCCAGAGAGGAGTCTCAAGCAGGCGCCCGTTGATCTCACTCCAGCATAACCCGGCCCCTGGCTCACCTTCCCAGCCTTGGCACTCACTTCCAGCCACTCAACCCCTTGAGCCACAAGGACAACGCATTTTTGCTCATGACACGAGCTTTGCACCCTGCTACCTCCACCCGGACCGCCTTTCCCCGTACATTTCCCTACCCCATAAACTCTTACCGTGCTCAGGGTCTACATCCTGCTAAATCTTCCACATCCCCGAGAACTGGGAGTTAATATTTTCACTCTCATTTTAGAGATGGGGAAGCTGAGGCACGGAAGGGGGCTAACCCCGCGCTTTCTAATTCAGCTGCCCCGAGTATGGTCCACAAGTGTAAAATACACACTGGGTGTCAAAGACTTGATATGGGAATACTGTAAAACATCTCAGGAGCTTTTTCTACCTTGATGACATACTGAAATGATGGCTTTAAATACACTGTTACAGAAAATACAATGTGGCCAATCTCGCCCATCTTTGAACTTGTTTGTTTGTTTTTTAAGAAGGCTCCATGCCCAGCATGGGGCTTGAACTCACAACTGTTGAGATCAAGAGTCCAGTGCTCGGGGCCTCTGGGGGGCTTAGTCAGTTAAGAGTCTGACTCTCGGTTTCAAGCTCAGGTCATGATCTCGCAGTTTGTGGGTTCAAGCCCCAAGTTGGGATCCATGCTGACAGCGCAGAACCTGCTCGGGATTCTCTCTGTCCCTCTCTCTCTGTCCCTCTCCAGCTTGAGCTCTCTCTTAAATAAATAAACTTAAAAAAAAAAAAAAAAGTCATGTGCTCTACTCATTAAGCCAGCTCCCCTATCTTTTAAGTGTGGGTACAAGAAAGCTTATTTTTAAATATTTTAAAAATGTTTATTTATTTTTGAGAGAGAGGGAG